CTAAATGGCACAAGCGGCGCATCATGAAATGTAAGGATGAAATTCATGTTGGCAGGTCATAATCGTGTCCTGTCAATATAAGAACATTCTAATGAAGAAGTCAACTCAAACACGATTCATTTAATAAGGGCTTTTTGACTGTTGCCAACAGTGACAATTATAATTGGCCCACGTAACATGGGGTTATATTTTTTTTCTTTAATGATCTTGTTCTTTTTCCCTTCCCGTTAACCGTTCACTGCACTTTCCTTTTTTTTTCTCATCTGCTAAAAATAACTTGAAGAAGACGATCATCACCAAACTCAGTCCACTGCTGAAAGCAAATCCGTTCAATCATCCATTTTTTGCCGCTCAATCCAGTGAACCACCACTCGTGCCGTGCCAGCTCACTAAGTCGACCCGGCCACTCGTTCGATCCGATTTTTTCTGATTTAGCAGATTCCGAGGCATACTGAAAGTCTTTGGTTTGGTTAATCTTCATTTGAGGATGTCTCAGTCTTTCCATCGGCTTCCCACGAATTTGTTCAGAGGTATGTTTTATTTTTTTTGTTCTGTACTAATTAGTTTTTTCAGAGGTAAATTTCATGTTGTTTTTGTAGTATAAAAAAAAATAATTAAAAAGGCTAAAACTAACATAATTACATAATTTGAAGGGTTCTTTTTCTCTTATATTAGGTAATCATGGATCCAAGTATTGATTTGAATATAGCCTATGAGGAATGTATTAACGAGAATGTTTTAAGTGCAACTGAAAATATGATACATGGTGAAAAACATGACGGAAGGGAAAAAGAATTGGCACCTTATAATGGTATGGAATTTAATTCACACGAAGAAGCATATTCATTTTACCAAGAGTACGCAAAGGATGTCGGGTTTGGTGCCTCGATAAAAGCTAGTCGGCGGTCAATGGCAAAAGGGGCAAATGGAAAATTCATTGATGTAAAATTTGCTTGCTCAAGGTATAGGTTTAAACGAGAGTCTGATGCACTTAATCAACGATCTTGTTTGAAGATTGATTGTAAGGCAATTTTACATGTAAAAAGAAGAAAAGATGGAAAATGATTTATTCATCAGTTCATCAAAGAACATAATCATGAACTTTTTCCTAGTCATACACATTATTTGCCGTGTCATAGAAACATATCTCCTTCCATCAAGAGTAGCATGGATACTTTACATGCAGTTGGGGTGAAGACAAGTAAGATTTTTGCTACAATGGCCAAACAAAATGGTGGATATGAGAACATTGGATTTTTAGAAAAAGACATTCGGAACCATTTTGATAAGGAAAGACGTTTGGATTTAGCATCAGGGGATGCTCAAGCGATGTTGGAACATTTTATGCATATGCAAGAAAAAAAATGTTAATTTTTTTTATGCATTGGATTTGGATGAAGAATAAAGTTTAAGAAATGTTTTATGGGCTGATGCAAAAGGACGAGAAGATTACAAGATTTTTGGAGATGTTGTTTATTTTGATACTACATATATCACAAACAAATACAAAATGCCATTCGCTTCATTTGTTGGTATGAATAATCACTTCCAATCCACATGTCTTGGATGTGCATTACTTGCTGATGAGACTACGTCTACATTTATTTGGCTAATGCAAACTTTTATTAGAGCAATGGGTGGAAAATCTCCAAATGCTATTTTAACTGACCAAGACAAAGCTATGAAATCAGCCATTTCAAAGGTATTCCCCAATGCACGACACCGGTTTTGTTTGTGGCATATATTGAGAAAGATTATAGAAAAACTTGGTCATGTAATAAGAAAAAATGAAAATTTTATGGGGATATTCAATAGATGTATTTATAATGTATGGACTGAAGAAGACGAGATGAAATGGAGGAATATGGTTGAACAATTTGAACTTACGGAGAATGAATGGCTTGAAGCTTTATTTGAGAATCGTAAACGTTGGGCTCTAATTTACATGAGAGGTACATTTTTTACTGGAATGTCTACAACTCAAAGATTTGAAAGTATAAACTCATTTTTTGATATATATGTGAGCAAGAAAACTTCATTGAAGGAGTTTGTTCAACAATATATGGGGGCTTTACAAGGTAGAGAAGAAAAGGAGGCTTATGCTAATTTTGATACATTATACAAAGAAGTTGTTCTAAAGTCTCCCTCACCTTTTGAGAAACAAATGTCAACAATTTACACACATAAAGTCTTCAAGAAATTTCAAGTTGAGGTTTTGGGAGCATTTGGATGTTATCCTAAAAAGACATCGGAAGATGGTATGATTAAGAGTTTAAAAGTTCAAGATTTTGAAAAAAATGAAGACTTCATGGTAGAATGGGATACAAGCAATGAAGAGATTTTTTGTTTATGTCGTTTGTTTGAGTACAATGGGTTTCTCTGTAGACATGCGTTGGCAGTACTACAATCATTTGGTGTTTTGAACATCCTAACTCAATACATCTTAAAGAGATGGACTAAAGATGCAAAATGTGTTAATACCACAAGACACATTCCAAAAGATATTCGTTCGAAGAAGCAACGTTTTAATGAGTTACTTGAAGAAGCCACCAAATTGAGTGAGGAGGGGTCAACATGCATTGAGAGTTTTAACATTGCATATGATGCACTAAAGGAAGTTGTGAAAAAATGTGCAATGGTCAATAGTTATCTTTTGGGCTTAAAAGATCATTGTAGTTCTCATGATCTTGATAAAGAGAATGTCGATAATAATGTGATACTCGACATCGCAGTTCTCGACCCATAAGTGTCAACTACAAAAGGAGCTCCTAAAAGGATTAAAAATGGGATTGAGAAAATGAGTAAAAGAAGATGTAAAGGCAAAGCAAAACAGGAGTTTTAATTATATTGCACATGTATTTCATTTGATGGTATATTTCTTACTTATTAATTATTAATACTTAGGTTCAAATGCCTGTGGAAGTGCCCAATGATAGGAGGAGAACACCTTTGGAAGTGAGGTTTGTCATGCATTGAATGTTATAATTTTCTTTTGAAATACACAAGATGCATCTTACTTACATAGCATAAAAAATAGTGTTGTATATTAATGAAAGAGATAAAAAATCATGTTTGATTTTTGATAATTTAAAATTTTCAGGTTTATGAAAAAGCAGGTTTTTGTTGAGGAAGAGAAAACCTTTGGAAGTGGAGGTTTGTCATGCATTAAATATTATAATTTCCTTTTGAAATACACAAGATGCATCTTACTTGCATAGCATAAAAAATATTGTTGTATATTAATGAAAGAGATGAAAAATGATGCTTGATTTTTGATAATTTTAAAATTTTAGGTTTATAAAAAAATAGGTTTTTGTTGAGGAAGAGAAAACCTTTGGAAGTGGAGGTTTGTCATGCATTAAATGTTATAATTTCCTTTTGAAGTACACAAGATGCATCTTTACTTACATAGCATAAAAAATATTGTTGTATATTAATGAAAGAGATGAAAAATGATGTTTGATTTTTGATAATTTGAAAATTTCAGGTTTATGAAGAAACAGGTTCTTGTTGAGGAATAGCTACGATTAGTTCATGAAGAGGCATGTTTATTTTGTTCATGTACGTAGTAATATTTTGAGAAGTGATGGGATTTTATTTACATTTAATTATATTGATGTTGTAAAGCTCTTTTTTTGGCATTTTATTTTGTTCATGTAAGGAGTAATATTTTGAGATGTGATGGGATTTTATTTACTAGCAAAGCTCTTCTGTTTTTTTCTTTTCGGAAATTAATGTTGTAATCTTTTGTCTATGGATGTCGACAAGTTTTACTTGATGAATATTTAATTTACACTTTATTGTCAACATGTTTACTTGATGTGCTATTGTAATTCTATTGGAATTCTTAATGCCAATTGTTACTGTAATTCTAATGGAATTCTTAATGGCGATTGTTAATATAATTCTATTGAACTAAGTTTGGTGATGACGAGGAAAAAAAAAAAAAAAAAAATGTACAATGACATGTTAAAGGAAGGAGAAAACGCACTAATGTGCTACCATAATTTTATTGGAATTCATAATCTCGATTATTACTGTAATTCTATTAGATTGAGTTTGGTTATGATGAAAATAAAATAAAATAAAATAAAATAAAATTCTATTGGATTGAGTTCGATGATAATGAGGAAAAAGAAAGAAAGTGCAATGACCGGTTAAATGAAGGAGAACTGTAATTCTATTAGACTGAGTTTGGTGATGATCGTCTTCTTTAAGGTTGTTTTTACCGGATGAGAAAAAAAAGGAAAGTGCAGTGACCGGTTAAAGGGAAAGGAAAAAGGCTAAGGTTGTTTTTATCGGATGAGAAAAAAAAGGAAAGTACGGTGACCAGTTAAAGGGAAGGGAAAAAGGCAATAAGCGGTTCAATAAGTCAAAACTATTTTTCCAAAGTGTGTGTTTTAAAACAAGATAATTAAAGAAAAAAAAATAACCCCATGTGCCCATTCTTACATGGGCCAATTAAAATTGTCTACTTTTGGCAACAGTCGAATATTTTAATTGTCAACTGTTGGCAATAGTCGAATATTTTAAAATATGTGGATTGTTGCTAGCAAAGCTCTTTAATAAAACCTTTAACACTAAGTCAACTTATTTATTAAACGAGTTACACGTATTAACCTATTAATAATTTGTTTACAAAACCAGCAATAAATACTATATATATATATATATATATATATATATATCACACACATTAGCTAAGGAGCTAATGTATATTTTTGTTAGATTTATGTTTGAAATGATCTAATCGTCAATGATAGTAATTGAGTCTAAACAGATATAAATGGGTTACAGTGAATCTTTCAATCCTAACATGACACAATTAATTAAACGGGGTTAATCATATTGACCCATTTTTGACCTAACTCAATAAAAAATAAACCCAAACCCGATTATACAGATCATAATTTTGCAAAATGAAACGACATACAGGAAATGAACCAGTTCATATATATATATATATATATATGTATTGTGTATCTTTGGTCTCATTCTAAACCATGGTATGCTTGAAAATAATTAAAAAACACAAAGGAGATAAGAGGTTAGCTCAGACACAAGTCTCTCTCTCCCTTCTAAAAGCATCCACCTCGTTCTCATGCGCTGCGTTTTTCATAACCCAACCATACCTAAAACCAAAGCCATGAGCACAGAAACAGAGTATCACTCCAAGGACTTCGAGTGGGACCAACTCAGAGAAGAGATCGAGAACGACCCCTCCCTTCGCTACCACTTTCAACTCTCTTCCCAACCAGAGACCATCCAATTCTCTCCCTCTCTCTCTTCTCACGACTCTCAGGCATGGGACAACTTCCACACTCGTCACTCCACCGGCAAATTCTTCAAGGTCCCTCTTATGCTATATCTATTATTTATACATTTATAATTGTCAATCTTTGATGGGATTTCAATGTTCTCTGAAAGCGTTGCTTCGATGACTTCATTATGTCTCTTTCGAAATATCACCAATCAATCACTCATCCGTAGATTACCCATTTGAATTTGATCATAATAGGTTCACTGGGTAACCATTATAATGTTACAGTTTAGCATTGAAGTGCTTAAATCACAAATTATCGGTATGAAATCCGAACTCTATGATTACATCTCAAAACTCACCATCAAGTCTCAATAGCATAATAGACAGTGATGAATTATCTATGGCAATGCATCAATTAGGCTCCAGCTCGTTCATGATTTGGAATGGTATGATAAAGGGTGGGTTCATAGCTCAGCTAATTTATAGTTTAACATGTAAGAATTATACCTTGTTTCAATATCAGTTGTGGATCTATAAGTAAGTTGCTAACATAGTCATATGTTGATGTAGAATAGTACAAATTAATCTGTGTTACAATTTTTTTTGGGTCTTGAGGAGCTAATTTGTACTCTTAATTGTTTTACTTCTTGTGTGAGGAAACACATCTTAGATTTTGAGTAAGAAATACAGAACAAATCTAATTTATGGTGTAATGAACCCATCCATTGCCTCATATTGGAATACCTCCATTATCTCATGTAAAGGAACACATCCATCAGCTAATACAAGGAACATATCCCTCGTCTCATAAATAAAAACTCGCTATCATCTCATGTAACGAACACATACTTTTACTCATGTAAGGAACATACCCATCATCATTTGTATGTGAATTGGGAACGCATCCACCATTTCGTGTATAAAACACATATATCATCTTCTGTAAGGGTTATACTTGTTGATTCCAAGACGTTTAGCTCTATTTTTTTTTATAATCTTTACACCCATTAACGGTACATGGAGTATTAATTAAGTATAATATGTAAATCATCTTATTTGTGCTTATATTCTAAGACTTGTCATGCATATTCTTTTAAGTCACTTTCACCTTAGCTCCTTTGGGGTTCTATAGACTTTAGTTCTAATTATTAGTCTCAATTCTCATTCTGAAGTCTTTCTATGTATATTTGTCAATAATCTTGTAATAAATAATTGTCCTTGTTTTATTACTATATAACAATGGGGTGACTATACTTGAATTGGAGAAGGCCTATGATTTTGTGAATTAATCTTTCCCTTTGTGTATGTTAAGAAGGTTGTATTGGGGGAATGGTGAAGAAGCTGGATTCTGTTTTGTATTTAAATGGTTTCTTTCCCTATCTTAGTGCATGGTGTTCCTTGTGGCTACTTTTAAAATTTCAATTGGTTTGAGGAAATGGGATCTGCTTTACCCTTTTCTATAATTGTGATGGAATGGTTTAGCAGAGTAATTGATGAAGTGGTGGAAGGCGATTGAATTGGAGTTTATGAGGTGAGAGGTATAAGGAGAAGTGGGAGGATCTTACATCTAGAGGTCTTCTCTAGGCAAATACAGCTCTAAAAATAAATTTGGATTAATCTCGATATGATAAGGGGCTGATGTTATCATGTTAATATTTGTTGCAAAATGTGAAATATTTCTCATCTTGCCTTGGTTTTACTTTGAGAGCAAGTTTGAAAGCTAAAGTGGCATGGGGCGGGATCGTTGAGTAGTTTGAGAAACTTTAGAGGGCAGAAACACTTCTACGTATTACAAGATGGAGATTTTCATGGGTTTGAAGCACTCTTTCAAATAAGTAGTTGACCTGATTAAGCTTTCCCTTAGTTTAATACTAACAAGTTTCTTTTACTTTTTCTTTTGTTTGTGTGTGTTTCAATGATACTATGATACCTAAAGCGCAACTAGTAATCAAGATCAGTGAACTTCAACTTACGTGAATTATATACATATATTTGCTTGAGTTTTAAGAAATCCATAGAAATGTTAAGAAGGTTTTTAGCAAGTGTGCACCCCATTAATGAGGGTGCTGGGAGGAACAAAGTGGTTGTCGTCAGGCTCAGCTGCCATCTCAGGCTTGGCACACTGAACTTGTACCAGTGCACCTAGCAATGGCTCCTTTTGTAGAAATATGATTTTTTTTTTTTTTTTTTTTTTTTTTTTTTAATTTTCCCCTTCTAACCCAGTTTAAAATTTTGCATGTCTCATTACCGAACATTGATTGCTGGGTGCAGGAGAGACGGTATCTTTTGAAGGAATTTCCAGAGCTAGCTTCTTGTGATGAAAATTCAAAGGTTTTGGAGGTGGGATGTGGTAATGGCAGTACTGCTTTGCCAATATTACGGTAATTCCAAAACTTTTTTTTACAAAAAAAAAAAAAAAACAAAACCACCTAGTGTCAGTTTTAAATTTCTGATTCTTGGAATAACTCTTTTGAATTGTATATTAATTTACTACTGAACTTTATTTTATACAAGTTTCATGTGCTCCCTTAACTCTTACGTGCATATTTAATGATCTGGAGACTCCCTTTTTTCCATAATTTTAATTGTCATAATGGTTTAGAATAAGTCTGTAATGTAGAGCCAAGGATCTAATCTGGTGGCAGAGATTTATGATTAGATGGAGTTTTCAGGATTCTTCTGATTTATAATAAGATTTGGTTTCTCTGTTTATGTGTTTTGGAAGTAGTGGGTCATGATTGTAAATTTGTTTATCCTCAAAATGCCAGAGTTTCAGTTAAAATATTGTATTTCTATGTCATGGTGATATTTTGAGTAAAAACAAAAAATGGAAATTGAAACTTGAGTAGCCTCAGAAAATATCAACTTAGTTGAATTACAAGTACTAGTAAGAACTAAGAAATGGAAATGACTAAATTTTGTTCCCCCCACCATAGTGATGAATAGGCTTACCTTGATGGCTAAACTTTTCTCATTCATGAGTTCATAGGTTGTTGTGAAATGCTTATATTAGGAATGCAGTTTGGAATGCTAAAATGCATTTCAACAAGAATATTTGAGGGGTTAAAAATTTTCATTGTAGATGAACTTCAAAATTCTATCCATCAGAGCATGATGTAAATTTTTCTATGGAAGAACTCACAAACTTTGTGCTTATAAAGGAGGGAAATGAGGATTCATATTTCATCCAATATTAGGATGTTCTTTTCACTTGGTTTGCTTTTTTACTTACTAAGCAGAAGATATATTCATCCTTAATGCAACTTGAAAAGTGTTCTACTACTGAATCAATTGATACTTTTATGTTAGGTGAATTAATTGATGTTTGGTTTAGAAAAACCAATGATTATAGGAAGTAGATATGGTCTTATTTCTACTTGCAGAACAAACTTGCAGTTTGCATTTTTTCCTAATAATTCCTACTTTAGATTTAAGAATGGGGAAAATATTGTCTCTCACTTTCTACAAATTCTCAGTGTGAACATATTTTCAAGCATATATTATTTATATAGTTGGGAAGTAATTTTCTGGTTCCAATATGTGCACCATATTGAAATTATTATTTTCCCTTAGAGCAAGTTGCAGATCTAGTCTCTGCCACATACAAGAAAGTATTTCAATTTCTATTCTACGTGAAACTTGTTCTTGGAAAAAGGCTACTTCTGATAATTAAATTGGCTGTTTAGTTTCATAGCTGGAGGTTATTGGGCTGAGTCTAGCCCTCAGGAATGGCATAAGTTTATGTTTATTTCTATTAGGATGAAATACAGATAGTATAGTTCAGAATGCCCATAAATAAAATTATTTTGCTTCTGGTGATAATGCTGAAAATTCACTTGTTTGTAGCGGATACAATTGGGATTTGGATTTTTTCGACACCAGATTGGTTTTTGATTCAGAATTATACATCCCCGGTTGTTTATGAATTTCACTCTCCACTTCTTCAGTCAGTTCCGATGGTTGTTTTCTACCAACACTTGTCATCTGGCATAGGGGTTATGTTTGTAGACCAGTTGAGCCATGTATATGTGAATTTCCCTTAAAGCCAGAAGCGGACGGTTCCGTAGAAGTGGAGTTATTAGGGTTACTGATGAGGTTCCAGATCTATCTCTCTAATATATGGTGGAAGGTTACCCGTCAATATTGATTAATTGCACCTTTCTACTTTATGGTGGTAGGTAACCCCTCTATAATATGATTATATGGAAAAAATTCAATCTCTTAAGGCTTGTGCGATCTTGTTTCTTTCTGTGGTTGGGAATGTTTATCCTCCAAGGATGACAAATTCAGCCTTGGAAAAGTATTCAGAAAATAGAGGAGTAACTACTTAGAAGACTAACATGGGAGATAGATGCCCCAATTGAGCATTGGATTCTAGATTCTCTCTCTTTTTTTTAGATTTTTTATTTATTTAATCTTTAGAATTCTTAGTTCTTACGACCAAGTTCTGCTCCTTTTCATTATAAAATTGGATGCACTATTATAATCTAGTGAGAAAACAAAAAAAAAGAAAAAAAAAGAAGAAAAAAAAAAAAAAGTCTTTATGTTCTACTAATCTTTTCACTTGTGCCAATTGCCTGTTATCCTTACAGAACACTTATTCTTGTGTTGCAGTGGCAAAGAGAGAATCATTGTCTGTGCCTGTGATTGCAGCACCGAGGCTCTTGAGAGGGCTAAAGAACTTATTTATGCCACTAATATAGTCTCAGTTTCACATCGTTTCCGTACATTTCATTGTGATTTTTCTGTAAGTGGATTTCCAAAGTGGCTGGCCTGCAATCTTTGCCAAGAAATTTTTTCAAAGAAAGGGCACAATTGTTTTTCAGGTTGACTCTACGTATTCATTTGTTTTTGTGTCAATTTTGTGTAAAATATCATGTTTCCCGGAGAAAATATGAACTCAGGTTTCCTTTTGCTTCTCCAGATTTTAGCGACAAGATGAGGAATGACTTAAATGATTTTTTCTCCTCAGAGGGCAATTACTGCTGCATGGGTGGGGTGGATTTTATTACCTTAGTACGTGCTACTCTTTACCTAGAATCAGTCTTCATGTGTCATATTACATCCGGATTTTTACTTATTTGTATTGGTTTTCTAAAATGTTCAAGAAGAAATTTTAAGATTTCAATCAACATCTGCAATGCATTTTATGAAAGAATAATTAATCTATTCTATGTGTAATTGAGAGTTTGGGTGATAGAATGGATTAATTATTCTTTCATAAAACTCTCAATCACCTTTTAGCTTTATCATTAATTTTGTGAGAACAGCTAAGTAAACTCATTTTTTTTCTCCTTAGAAAATTAGATATGATGGTCGATAATGTGGTCTGGTAGAAAGTACTCATCTTTGTTGCCTTTTAGGGTGAATCTTCTTGTTGGCTATTTCCAGTCTGCGTAATACATCAGATGGGTATCCAAAAATCCCCATGTAAGCTTCATTGGCCAATAATTGCTTCAATTTGGTTCTTCTCATTTTTGCATTGGTCACTTTTTTTGTTTAGGTCGTATATATTATATTGACTTTTGCATCCTCATATTGTCTGATCATGTTGGCTAATGGAGTTGTTTCAAATTTTTGGCTTTCTTGTCACCTTGTGCAAATGTTACAAATCACTAGATTGCATACCAACTGAGATTTCCCTTTGGAAAACAACTGACAAACTTGACAACCTCTCAAGTTTCTCCTCGTGTAGTAGTAATATGTTGAAGTAGAAGCAGTAGACACAATCTGTAGTTGAGGTTTTTCTTATTTATTTTGTATGTCATAGATATGAGGGGTATAATGTACTTGTACTTGTAGTAGTAATATGTTAATATGTTAAAGTTGAAGCAATAAACTGCAATTGAGGATTTTCTTATTTATTTTGTATATCCTAGATAAATTGAGGGGTAGAATGTACTTCTGTGTTATCTAACTTCTCCGGATCTAGTTTACTTTATAAACTTCTTGTCAGGGTATCAATTTCTCTAGCCTATTTGACAATCAAACTTTGATTCGTGTTTCTTTTTCTTTCTTTCATTCTTTCTTATTCTTCTTCTTCTTTTTTTTTTTTTTTCCCCCTCTAACAAGAGCAAGGTGGTAGGGGGATTTAAACTGCTTTCGAACGAGCTATTCTGAGTAGGTTCTGGAATGAGACACATTTGGTGTGTAAAAGTAAGAATATGACTGGTACCCTTCCAGGGATGGTTTGTATTTTGCAGATCAACTTCCCATTTTTCTAGCCTGATTAAACGAGTCTAACCACTTGATTCTTGTAATCTGACATCTTTTTTATTGTGTTTACTCTTTATATTGGTTTAGATGAAATTGAAATATTGTATGGTTGACTTCTAAACATCATAATAGGATGAACAGTCACCATTTATTTACATTCTAAATGACAATCATCAAAAAACATCTAGCGCATATTTAGAACTTGTTTTTAATTGATCACTGTTTGATTAATCAATAAAACTTCACAAACTACTAAACTTCTGCCTCAAGTATGTCAAAGTATGTAATATAATTGAATTTGAATACTGAATTTTATCTTTAATTTGTGATTTACCAGATATTCACGCTATCAGCAGTACCACTTCACAGAATGCCAACTGCTATCGCAGAGTGCTTCTCTGTTTTAAAACCCGGTGGCCTACTCTTATTCAGGGATTATGGTAATAAAACAACAAAGAAAGGGTTATTGTTTTGATATGTAAAATCTTCAAATTCATAAGACTTTCGGTTTATAAATTCATAGTCAATTCTTTTCAGATATTGCCTATTGCTCTATTTTTGTACCGTGTCCTGCAAGTGCTAAAAAATATGAAGTTTGATGAAACAGGCCTTTATGACATGACCATGCTCCGATTTGAGCCAGAAAAAAGAGTCGGGTTCAGGGAGTACATGCGTTCCGATGGAACCCGTTCTTATTTCTTCTGTTTGGATACTGTGAGGGATTTATTTGTAGGTGCAGGCTTCACCGAGGTATTAATTTCTGATTTTGCTTTTTATGGGATAACTAATCGTCTTTGTTCTTACCATAGGAATACCTAATCATCTTTCGCATTAGTAATCCAAATTAAGAGTTCTACATGGGATGACTCGTTAGTTGTTACATCACTGATCACACTTTGGTTTGTGTTTAAGTTGAATTTCCATCCATTTCAAAAACAATTGGAAGGGATATGTGTGAACTAATCGCAAATTGCTAGCATTTTCGATGTGGAAGCACTGAACCCTTGTTATTTTCTTTTGACTACTGAATAATCCTGTGTGCACTTTTGCAGCTTGAGCTAGAATATTGTTGTGTGAAGACCGTGAATCGCCGGAATGGGAAGAGCATGCGGAGGGTGTGGGTTCACGGGAAGTTTCAAAAACCCACATAAAGTTGTCCACCAAAATGTGGTTGGTCCAACTAGAACAGTATATTGGTGAAATCCTGTGAATGATCAGCAAATACAGTAAATGCAAGCTGCTACCACTGGTAAAGGGGTTCAAAAAACTATGTTCTCACTTTCTTCAATTCGGAATCGATTCACAACAAATCTTCGTTGGAAAGAGGGAATTTCACTGTCGAGGCGATTGTGGCAGATTTGAATTCATAACTATAATTCTCATCACTGCGCTCATTCATTGATCAAGGCTTGACGGAAGAACTTTCTTAGTCTTGCTGCTTGATTTCTTGACATTTTGTAATAAAAACTGTTTCACTTGATTTTGTAAAAGAAACTGTTTGTTCTAATATTAGAGTTAACAAGTGAAAAATATGAGATAAAAGCTTTTGATCTTATTTGTTACACAACTAACAAGTCTCTCTCGGCCAGCAAATTCTCAGTGTTATAGGATTCTCTCTAGGCCAGGCATATCAACAATCAGTTAACCAAATTCATTCCTCGAATCTGTGTGACGACTTACCCATTTTGTTTTAAGAGGCCCACAAAAGGGGAGAGAAAAAAAACTAATACTACAAGAAGTCAGCAATCGAGTCTTTTTCTAATTATTTGTAATCGAGTCTTTTTCTAATTATTTGATTTGGGGATGGCTACATGAATTTCAATGTTTTTATTTCACTATTTACGACCAATTAGGGTGAGCTATATGAATTCTATGTTTTCATTTGTTCTGTTCAAGTAAGAAACATAAATTCACACCCCACCTAGGGATGGCAAAATTTCCCACCTCGCCCCGTTTGGGGTGGTTTCTAGAGAGGGTTGCCCAGCCTCGAATGTACAATAAATTTATTAAACTATCCTTCCATACTATGATATATTATTAAAATAGGTCACATATATACACAAGAAGAAACCTTGACCCTCATTTCGTTTCATGTATCAAGTCTTGTGAAAAAAAAGAGCCGCATAAAGGGATGATAAAAATCCCCACTCCAGCGGGGTACGTCCCGTCTGGGGCGGTTTTGGAGAACCGATTATGTGAATGGAACTGCATTGAAAAACCCAACAGATTTTGAAGCAGTTATGCGGTGAAATAATTAAACGGGAGTTGGGATGAGGAATGATATCCCTGCCCCAAAGCCATCCTTGGTTTCCACCTCAAGAATAATAATAATAAAGATAAAAATAAAAATAAATAAATAAACAAATCCACTCCATGCCAAAGGAAATGACGAGTTATAATTTACATTGTGGGGATTTGAAATGATTTTAAAACTTAAATACAATACATGATTTATAATAATAATAAAAAATGGAGAGAAAATTGAAGCACCACTTGGATTGCAAATATAGCCTGCCATAAGATAAAAGAAAAAGAAAACTACATTCCAGATTTGGTCCTTCCAGACATTATCATCATAATGTTGATGCTATCACAAAGCAAATGGCAGCTTTTGCTCGTTTGTATAACATCCCAATTTTCAACAGGAACATTTCAGACTCACGCAACAAATACAATTCTTTCTTTTCGGTGCATGGAAGCAAAGGAAAGAAAACTACGAACTAGAATCTAGTGAACAACAAAGTTAAATTCAAACTCAGATCCTTATATTCATTGATCAAGTAAGATTGTATCAATAAGCGTCCAGACGTGTAGGCAAAAAATTTGAAACCAGCAATTGACTGTAACAAACGAGGAGGAACGTTAAAAGATCTTTTTATTCAACAAGCTGCAGTATTGACACTCTCAATCAAGTCCATAATTTTTGGAGCAGGAGCAGAAAAGCCGGCCGAAGGATATTCATCTCATTGTTAAAGTTGTAAACACAAGATCCTAATTCTTTTGAAAAAATCTAGACATGATGGTAACTCGTACACCAAAATGCTCACATAAAATCGTAATCATCAAAATCATCATAGCCAGCAACAACCGCTTCATCATCAGGCTTATCAACGAGTAGCTGTTTCTTCTTTGCTGCAAAAATGATCGCACATCACTAGTAAGGTCACCTGTGATGCTAGCTAAAAAATCGATGAACAGCATAAAATTACCATAATTAAATCCCAAAGAATAACTTTGCAAATCACAAGCATGGGGCCATGCGGCACAAATAAAAATCATGACACACTGCATGCACAAGCGCATACACACATAGGCGAGTGTGTGCACACATATAGGGTAGCAGATGTACTGCGGTGTGTTGATATTTCTAATACTTCCCTTGGTTTTACTCCCTATCCATGCATTTCAAATGTACCCTTTTTCCTTCCTTGTTTTTTTTTCTTTTCAAGATCACAGCTCACCTATAAAACAAGATTTTAAACCATTACCAAGTTCTCACACATAAGCAAACAGGGAAGTCAAACATCGGATACCTGTCTTCTTTTTACCAGCATTGGCTTCCTTCTCTGCTTTTAGCTTTTCATTTGCAATTGCAGTCACAGAGGAGGCAACCTCCTTTGCATCTGCGGCTTTCAGAGAAGTCATTGACAGTCTATTTACAGACTTGAGTAATCCAATATAATGGAAACTTTTCTGCATTCAAAAGTAAATTGAGCTCAAGTCAAATTTGCACCGGTTTTTTATTTCAGCAAAAAATGAACACGCACACAGGCACCCTACACAAAAGGGCAAATTCAACAAACCTCATATGGACGGAGCTTATGAGAAATGAGCTCTGCATACTCCAAGAAATCACTTTCAGATTTGGGAATGAAATTATCAAGGGACTTCTCATCTCCTCCCTTAGAGAACAGTTCAGCAGTGGCTTTATAATCAGCTTCTTCCACAAGCCTATAATGGGGCAGAAAAAACAGTACAAAGTTCATTGTCTACCAGAATAAGCCACGAAAAGCCACTATGAAACATTTTTGAACCACAAGATCCTTTATCCAACGAGTTTAACACAACCACTTAAGTTTGTTGTGATTAAACCATACTGTTTAAAGAATTATGATTCTGACTTGTACGAATAGTAGTAATGAGGACAATGGTGATTATAAAATGAAATATTTCATTCGCATTAATGAAGTAGAAATCACCTCTTACCAGTCCCATTTTGACATGGAATACTTGAATGACAAATAATATCCATAACCGGTCCAACATTCCAAATGGAGTATTGAACATGCATATTGGTCAACCAATTATAACCAAGCATACAATGAAAAGGAAATGTATAACAGCAACAACAACAAACAAAGCCTTTTCCAAAAGTACATGGGGTTGGCTACATGAATACTATTTTTTCATTACGCTCTATCTAGCTACAGGCTATAGCCTCAGTTAAACCATATGTTATCAAGTCCTTCCTAACCTGGATCATGTCCCTCTGCCTAACTGGTGCAGTTTAAAGTCTTTTTGCACATGTCCAAACCATCTTTAACCAAATTTTCTCTCATTTTTTCTCCAATTGGTGCTACTTCAACCATCTCAAGAATGTGTTTAATTCCATCCTTTCTAGTCGTGCCACACATCCATCTCAACATCCGCATTTTTGCTAGATTTTATGCATAAAACATAGCTATGTCATGCACTGACTTTTAAAAAATTAATTCGGAACTCCATGCATGAGTCTGTAATGTGAGTGGTGAATTCTAGATTGAGTAGAGTCCAGAGGTTATCTACAAACTATATATCAAGCAGAGAATCCATTCTGTAAGAAGTGAAGATTATGGCAGACATCCTGACAGTCATGTTCACGGTGCTGCTAATGGGAGACTGGCCAAATTTTTTGCTTCCTTGAGAGGTCTTAGACAATGATACCAGCTTGCAAGGTTCAAGAAGTGTACATGCTTGATAGTGTGGAAATTTTGCTGTATTCTTCTCAATTTTCTGCAGCTGTTCTGTTATTAACTTAACTCTTAATTGCAGTGAATGTGGTGATAATATACCAAGCAAGAAAAATAAAAAATAAAAAAAGTGGTTATAATATACACTGTATTCAGAAAATGATCCATCATTTAATTGTTGTTGGAAATCTGATATTCTGTATGAATCTATACAGCGTCCACCACTCAAGCTCACATTTCATCTTGCACAATTCAATTTTCGCCTAAGTTCTAGGAGACCTTGGCGTCTTAATGCGTGTTGCACCTTTAATAACTATCCACCACTCTCCCCCAAACAGAATCATATTAATGGTCAAAAGTAAACTACAGGCAGCTAACTAACCTCACCCACAAGAAACATTTGTGCCTTCCTAACATTACTCTTCAAATTCGGGACTAGCTCAAAACAAAGAACACGTTGCAGATAGAGCAAGTGCTTTGCTTCAACCAATAATGGTATCTTCCACCCACACACACGTGTGCACACAAAAATGAGACACCTTGAAGTTCAAATCTCCATTCATCTTGCCTCCACTGTCTTGTGAGATACTCCGCAAAACCACCCATAATGACTATGATAAACTACAGGGGTTGATAATGGCCCCGTGTTGGAAACATCACAAACTCCCAAAAGATCCTGAAAATAATCCATTAATTAGAATGAAGAATTTCATCATAGAAATGTGCAAACCGATCCAATATCATCTACTTACACTCATAGTGCATCTTCTATATTAATTTTATTTTCAACTTTTGTGTTGCTTGATCCATGCTAAAGATGATTTCAATTTTCTTCGCTTTTGTGAACTTCAAGCTAAACAGATGCATGGGATCAAAATTTTGTTGGCTAGTCAGAAGTGGAGAGTTAACAAATCTCCAATTATATTGAGTTTCTTACTAACTTCACATATCCACACACACAAACACAAAAATAAAAAAATAAAATTAAACCGAGTTCTCTTATAAGATGATACAATGTAGTGAGTCTTCTTCCCAATCATTATTTGAGGAATTCTCAATTGATGTAACATAATCTGTAAGTTGTGAAATTGTTTTATTCCAGCTTCCCTCACTCTTTCTGAGTACACATCTCCTTTCCAAGATAGAAAATATATATAGCTCTTAATGACTCCCAACAGCAGATAGTTTCCCTCTGTTCTATGTTGTTCAGTTCATTAAATGACAATATGACGTATGCTTTCTGTAATTGACATAGCATCCCTCTTCAGAGGATAGCGTGTCCAAATATATAAACGTTAACAAGCCAAAAACTAGAAGAAACAAGATGCTGAAGTTTCACCTTTGCTGACGAAGTTTTTCTGCTACAGGATCTAGGGGCACTTCCTTTGCTATTTCAACTGTTTTCCCTTTCTTTTCACTAGTTTTTGCCTCGGACTTCTTGGGGACCTTTTGAGCAGGAGGTTCAGCTGCAGGCGCCTGATCAAATCACATGAAAAGTAACACATGATGCATTAAGAGTGGAAAGAGAATTACTCAAACACACAGGATATTGCATGCCACTCAGTTTATAATTACAGGGATGTTTCAACATCAAGGCCCCACAATACCAAACTCTTCGAATAAAATGCACCTAACACGTTGACAATTTAAGTCCAACAATCCTTGAAATATTTCACTTTGGATATGTATAACTTTCATAAAAGAGCGTCAAAAAGGGTGTAATCCTTAAGATATTTCCACCCCATAAATTCCTGAGCACGGCCTGATTGAATAGTCCAACCAATAGTTAGTTGCCTCATTGGATTTCAAAATACTGATGAAGCAAATACCTTGTTGCAACTTCCAAAGATTCTTTTATCGTTGATGTAATGTGAATTTATTTAATAAAAGATGTCTAAAATAACCTAAATGGAGCACTAAAATTAGAAGAGACAGGTATTTCAAAGTTTTGCAAAGGTAAAAGGAAAATATAATGATTTGTTGATAAAAGGCCAGCTGAAACTTCTTGGCAACAAGTCCATATTAAAAACAAAATTTGAATACCAAGGGAAAAATCTAGGTATGAATAAGTATTCAGGACATCAGGACAAAAACTTAAAGACCACAAGAAGTTTAGGTAGTGAAAAAAGTAAAATTTTAACGAAAAATTCAAAAAGAAGGGCCTCTAGCAGGGTAAACAGTGAGTACAACAGTAAAGAAAAGCAAAAGCAAGAAAAAAAACGGAAACAGCATAATCTAGTAGAGGGAATAGGCCCCAAAACCTCACCAAGAATATCTCCACATCTAATTGAACAAAACAAGATAGATTATCAACGTTACCGGAGCTGAATCATCTTCATCCTCCCAAGATTCTTTCACATCATTGTCATCTGCATCCTCATCATCCCATCTATTCTTCGGCTGCTCCTTTGGGATAACAGGTGGAATTGACTCGTCCTCTGAAACAATTGCAGATTATTTCTCAAAATTAATTAACAAACTTCACCACATTTAACAAAGAGAACATGATGAAGAAAATGAAGGATTAGGAGAATCCTTGACAACAAAGACAATACCATTTTTCCATAGACATCACTGACATGACAGTGTTTTTAAAAACCGACTCCATTGCGCATGTTTAAATATAGGGAGACCCTAAATTATAATTTTATGTGCAATGAAATGTTAACTAACGTCAAATTACCAAGGGGCCAGTGGCCCAGCGGTACCAAACCCGTACTTCCCAAAGGGAGGTCATAGGTTCGAGCCTTAGTGGAGGCAATGTGTGTGAGTGAATTGCTTTACCTTCCCAAAAAAAAAAAACTAATGTCAAATCCAGATAAGTACATCTTAAACTCATTGACTTCATTCGGAATTGAGGGAGGGGAAGCAGCCAAATGGTATTTTATTAAACCTTTAATTGATGCAAGCAAATTTCAGAAAGTCTAGAGCCAATTTTTTTGTAAACTCAAGGGAGGTTCATTCTGCCTGAAAGCATTTCAAAAATAAAGGACACAAAATTGGAAATTCAAAAGCATCAATCCATGTAATCATTTTCATCAATTCTGGTCCAAACATCGGGTTCTCTTCATCTATCCAGGAATCTACATATGGGACTATAACTAACTGCCTTCCACCACACAGAAGAATAATCCCTCCATAGTACATCCCAAAATTAATGTTTACCTTTCCTTTTTGAGATGCACCAAAAAAAAGTCTTTTTTTACCGAAAAGTCAATGTAAACTTTCCTAAATTACTTTTAGATTTTGAAAACTTCACAAATTTAAGAATGTAAAATTTTCAAAGGGAAAGATGCATTAAATACATGCTCCCTTACGAACTTAGAATCTCCACAAAGACACTTGTTTTATGACAGAGGTATATATGAACAAGCAAAGCATTTAGTTATAAATATTAAGATACTGAAATGCATAAAAATGCAATAATGGGCACTATAATAACTATTTATTTAATTAAGTGGCTGTGGTTAGTAGATTGCTCTGTGATTAATAGATTGTTCACTCTATTTACTGCATATTTTTTTATAAAATCACAATAACCACATATACCCAGTTGTTTTTGGTCTATTGCTCCATGATTAGTAGATTTTTCTTTTTTTGACAAGTAAGATATCATTAAAGACACTCAAAAAGGGGAGAACCAAAAAAAATACTCTGTGATTAGTAGATTATATTAGATTGTTCAAATAATCTTTTTAAAAAAACTAAAAGACACCCAAACCCATGTACTTATCAAAAAATGAAGAAGAAAAAAAGAAAAGTGTCCCAACTGAGACGGTAGATATTTTAAACTGATGAGAACAATATCCTTTCTTAATGAAAAACGATAGAAGAAAATGCATGTTAACAAGTACGTTCCACATATGTTACAGCAAATAAATAATCCAAATCCTTCACGAGATGATTATCTATAAGCCTCAGATAGCAGCTTAGTGCTGCCAAAATCTCAGTATTCGCTACAGCTGATGAACTTAATCAACCAGTAAAAACAACCCAATGAAAACCATAATCAGCAGTACTATATTGTGCACGAGTGCCAACATTAGTAGCTTTTGACTTTTCTATAATCAACTTCAATGCGTGATAAGCTTCATTTAATATATAATAATAGACATAAAAACTACTTTCCTCTGTCTCAAGCCATTTGAATTACATACATATTATATCAACAAATAGAAGCTTCCAAATTCCAAACTTATAATTGTACAGACCATCCCACCTTTCTAAGGTGAACTTACTAAATAAAACAATGCAACCACCATTATATAGTATTTCTTTTAAATCAGAAAATGTAGTTTACACATCTTATAAAAGGCGTGATTACACTCTTTAACATTCCAAAACAGTAATTTGAAAACTAAGGCCAGGAAATATTACCCCAATCCTCCATTTAATTTGTCTCTGTAATCTGAATGAATTTCGAAATTCAGATATTTGCGCTACCTTACAGATGATTGTAAACCTGCATGTGCAGAGATGTGAAATGGTAAAGTTTGGATATTAATCAAAGGTAACTAATTTTTTTTTTTTTTTTTTTTTTTGATAAGTAAGATTTCCTAAAAGGCGCTCAAGAGGGGGGCGCACATAAAAGAAGAATAAACAAGACGCGAAAGGCAACAACTATAGCTTTAAGCTATCCACAAAATCCAAAAGATGCCCCAGAGATTTACAATTACGCCCATAACCCAAAAGAATTAAGTATACAGAATACTGTATTTGAGAGCCCGAATAGGAGTCTCCTCTCCCTCAAAGGATCTGCTATTCCTCTCGCTCCACAAACCCCACCATAAACAAAGGGGAATGGTCCTCCAAACATCCCTGGCTCGGCTTTCCACTAGACACCAAGCCTCAATCAAATCCACTGTGGATCTTGGGAACACTCAAGACATGCCAAACACAATTAAAAACATAGCCAAACATTTCTCGCCACTGGACAATGCAGAAGCAAGTGATTTACGGTTTCCTCCATCTTCTTACACACACAACACCAGTTAACTAAATTTTTTAAATAGCAATTAACAGCATGACTCCTAGGAAAAAAGATACAAAGACCATACTACCAGCAGTTTGATAAAGAAAAAAGCTCTTATGAGATTAATAAATACAGATACTCTCTCATCAGTTTGATAAACACAAATACTCTCTTATCAGCTTGAAAATTACTTGCACCAACTAAATTGTATTCCATAAAATTGCAACCCGGGCATGACTTTTTTTAAAAAAAATCAGGGAATAAAATATTATATATATATATATATATATATATATATATATATAAGGAGGAAGAAGTATATATCAAGAGTAGGGACGCAAATGAACCAAGTTGTTCAAGTCACGCATGGCTAGCAAACGAGCGGAGCTCATGCTTGCTTATCTTTTTTTGCTCATGCTTGCTTATCTTTTCTTTCTTTTTCGGAAAGTTAAGCAATAAGAAGGAAAACTAGGCCCCCCCTTCCTTTTTTTGGTGGAGGGATGAAGTTTTAGATCTCTACAAATTGCCTACAATAATGAGAACTTGTTGCGGTCTCTGTTTGTTTTTTCTGGAGAGTGGAGCAAATTTGGAAGCCTATGCTTCCTAACTCCTAAGCATTTTAGTATTGAGAATTAAATTCTGTTGATGCTCAATTGGAGACCCTTTATAGCTATTTCACTCGTGGGAACGAAAAGTACGCATTAAGATGATATTGTTACATAGATATTGATACGTTGTTCTTCTATTCTGGTTTCTTTCTTTTTCTTTTCCATTACCAACGTATCATTTTTTTTTTATTGGAGTATGGGACTAAACATCTCACACTTAATAAATCAGATCAGGATTACTTATCAATAAAATAAATCAGATATGAATTAAGGTCGAAGAGATTCATCTCATGATTAGATCAAATTGTAATTTCTCATAACAAATTGATGGAAAAAAAAAAAAAAAATCACTTGACTATATACAAATCTGATTTTTTTATAGGCCTGTAAATGAATATTACCCTAGAGGAAAGAAGAAAATAGGTTCTGATTTCGGCTTCTAGTTGCAATACTAGGCAATTCAAGCCAAGTCACATCACTAAACACTGTATAATTATATTTATAAGACTTATTAAATAAAACTCCAGCAATATATGAAATGAAAGCTGGACTAATAGTGAGGATCTCTAGGAAAACCACTAAAAGATTATTAAACATGTGAATGGATTTCGGCTTTAAGTTGCAATACTAAGCAATTCAAGCCAAGTCACATCACTAACACTGTATACTTATATTTATAAGACTTATCAAATAAGACTCCAGCAATATATGAAATGAAAGCTGCATTAATAGGGAGGATCTCTAGGAAAACCACTAAAAGAATATTAAACATGTGAGACGATTCATACATATTCTGCTTTTATTTCCTGTACAGAGCACAGAGTTACTTGTATCATATATAGAACCAGAGATGTCACATGCTAACGCCATTGTTCTTAAAAACCACAAGGCTTTGACAACTCGTGAGTTTTTTTTTGGGGGGGAACAGGAACACAATAGAAAAATGAGATTAATGATGTGGGAAGGTTAACTGAATGGGACCATCAACTACCTAGCTCAATTGGCATGGCTCCATTCGGGGATAGAGCAGCGTTTAAGTGACGACAATAGAGATATAGAATTGGGCGATTGTTGCTGGTTAATCCTTGTGTAGTCCAGCAAACTACTTTTTTAACAAGCTGCCAGTAGCTCATATTTTGTTTCACACGTGCTCGTGTAATAAACAGTTAAAAGCAATGATGAACCACGCTATATAGTACACAAATTTCTGATTTTAATATCTTATAAAACGTATTTGATATCCAATCAGTGTCACTATTTTGTCAAACTCAGAAGCCTGATTGTCACACAAATTGTCCCTCTAACCCATTGCACTTTTGTATCTACTACACTTGCATAAAACCAGCCACTGACCATTCAGGCCTTCAGCTCTCAAAGCAAAGCAACTCTGCTTGGAGCTGACAATTCTCCTTTTGCTTTTTCATTGTCAACAACCAACTCATCTAGAAGCTTAAACTGTAAAAGAGAATATATTAAATGAAGTGTTTATATTATCAACGCTCACAAACAAGGCACTGTAGTATTTCTTCCGAAACTAGGGATTATTGAAGTACAACTAGAATTTCTTCGTTTTCAATATCTATAGGAAAGTAAAAATCTTATGTTTTCTTCGTTCATCAATTTTGAGAATCTATCTTTTCTGGACACCGACTTTTATCACTAATAAGAAAACCCCATATACACGAGACATCTATAAAGTTCAGCTAAAATTTTCATTCAATCAGAATAAATGGTCTAAAATCTCAAAACCCCACTCCATTTCTTCTCTAACAAAAGCTATGACCAATTCCTAAAAGTTCATCAATTTGAAGCAAACAAGTTTCACGCTAAAATCAAAGGACAAAACAACCTCAGTAAGAAAATTATCTGATTACACACCAAATACCAAGTAAATTTATATCTCAAAAGAGAAATTAACAGACAAAATACAAAACCATACAACAACATCAATTCAAATAAATTCAGAGTTTGTTCTGTAGTAGAAATAATGCACTCACACTGTAAACAGGCGATTTTGTTGTCCTTCTGGTCAACTATTTCCAATTCCACACCAAAACGATCCCACGGAAACAATTGAGCAATTTATGTAGTTGTAAACGCGTTAGATCTGCAATTCATCAAAATTAGACTACATATACATATATATATATATGCATATATAGGGATTTTTGTTGGAGTGAAGAAGAAGAAGAAAATCGGACCTGGACGAGGAGAGATAACGACCGCTATGCGGCTGCTGCGTAGGGCGTGGAGAATTCTAGAAGAGAGGAGAGAGAAACTGTAGGCAGTGCGGTGAACATACCAAATGTGTGTATACGTACAGTGTGTGTATACATTGGGTTTTAACTTTCGCGGATTCTTTTGTTGACCCGATTCGTACATTTGTCATCTGGATGCTGACACGTGGCGATCATGTTCATATCGGAATGGTTGCGGGTCTCGGGCTAAGATCAATAATTAATGTGGGTTTTATGTGGGTATTATAATTGTGTCGTGATAATTTAAGGATATATGTTGAACTAATTTAAGGGTATATATTGAGCTAACAGTAGCACGACTTATTTAATAATCATATCATGAACCTTCAATACTAATCTGACTTATTTATTTAACGAGAATAAAAATATTATAAAAAATATATACATTAACTAAAAAGCTAATATATATTTTTTAACTTATGTTGAAATGACCTGATTATTCATAGTAATTAGGTCTAAACAAATATTGAGTTATACGAGTAATATTAACACGATTATGAAACTCTTAGTTAAAGGGTCTAAACAAATTACACTTATTGAACCCTTCAACTCTAATACGATACTATTAATTAAACAGATTAATCATGCCGACTTATTTATGACTCAAACCTATTTAAGATAAATTCAAACCTATTTATCTCTTTCGTGTTCCAGTTGTGTTGGCGAATCTTGTAAAATTTTGCCACCTAATTTTATGCATAAAGCTCGTATGTTGTGTGTCAACTATTCATGGCACATTTCATATAAACCTTTAACAAATGCACAAAAGAATTGGATTCACTTCTAATTATGAATAAAGTGAAATATTGCCAAAAAATAAAATAAAAATTTGCCTAACTATCGCATATTGTAAATATTTTCATGACAATTTTATTAGGTAGCACAATTTCGCAAATATTTTTTTAAATTATCTCTATCTATTTTGTTAGAAGATGTTGAATTATATTAAAAGGAAAATGCAAATAGTGTGTGTATATATATTCTCGAAATTTTAAGCAAAACACAGTCTCATGTATATCTTTTCACTCACCAGAATTAGAACACTAAACCTTTTCAAAGAGAGATGAAAATTTAAATATCTAGGTTAGAGTTCATTAGTAAATGCAACAAGACTCATAACATACATGATACATTATTTGTTGATTGAAATATTTTTTTGAAAGCCCAAACCAAGGGACCGTGGGACAACATGGTGGGTCCCACCCCAAAGTCTGCGTGAAGAATTCAGTTTATACAACATAATTCTTGATGATTTTATTTATTATTAATTTTTTTAATAGACTTGGAGTTTTTAGTCCATGAGAAGGTTACTTTCAAAAGCTTGACAAATCAAAAGAGATGTTTGCAATTTGCAAAATTTTCATTTTTAAGGGATAGTTATATATACCTCTCGGACTATACTTGAATGTTGTTTATAAAAATGTTTTTATTTTCTAAAATTAAAAAAAAAAAAAAATTAGTTTGAGAGGATTAATTGCAAATAGATGAAAGATTTTGTGCTTTTTAAAAAAAACAAAATGTGACGATTCAAGTATTTATTTTTTAATTTGATATTTGCAGCTTTTGTACATTTATCGGTTGCACTTAGTTGAATTAATTAAATAAATGAATTAAAAGATTTTTAAAAAGAGTTTACCCTAGAGAATTAATCGAAAAACAAAACCGAAAGAGCGTGTGATATTAGTTAGTTCTTTAGCTGTATATAATATTTTATTTTTTAACAAACAAAACATTTTACTTTTTTATATATATAAAATGTGGGGTCAAATTTTGAAGGTGAATAACACGTATTTTTAAAGATTTTTTTTCCCGGGATAAAAAATAAAAAAATAAAAAATAAAAAAGTTTTGAACAAGTGAGGATAAGAAGTACCTAAAAATTGAGGATAAGAAGAATATTGCTATCCCAATTCGCAAGTTCCAACCGTTGATATATATATATATACATACAGGAGAAAATATATATATATATATATATATAAATATATATATATACACACACACACATACAAACAACGCCCACAGACTCAACAAGGGTTATAAATGAACCCCACACATTATAAATTATAAAACAAATCTCAGATTGATTCAAACGGTCATCTTTTCAAACCCAGAACAAAGCTTCACTCTGTATGACCGTTGTGTTTGTTCCCTATTCCCCTTTCTTCTGCCCCCAATCTCTCTCTCTCTCTCTCTCCCTCTCTCTCTCTCTATATATATATACACACACACACACACACATATATACTATATATATACATATGATTCAGCCGCTTCCCTTTTTGAAACAAACCCACTTTACATAACCCATCAAAGTGGCTAATCATGGGGTGTTTCTTCGCGTGTTTCAACAACTCAAAGAATCGAAAATCTCGAAAACTACAGGATAAAGTTTCCTCTGGAAATCAAGTAAGCCCAAATTCATGAGATTTCTTGAAAAATTATGCCTTTTTTTTTCTTGAAATTGTATCATTATATGTTCAAATCTTTTCAATCACTCATTCATCGTTTATCTGCTGCAGAGTCAAGAAGAACCCCATGAAGCTCTCCAACCCACCAATAACAACTCCTCTAATCTCATCATAGAGCCCAAGTAATAATCTATCAACTCTCTCCTAAATTTTCCTTTTTTTCCCCATTTTTGTTGAAAAAAGTTTCTTCTTGCAACACTTATCTAATTTCTTTGGGTTTTTATTTTTATTTATTTTTTGTTTCTTGAAACTCTAGTTCATCTAATTAGTTGTTGTGGGGTGTGTGTGTGTGTGTGTGTGTGTGTGTGTGTGTGTGTGTGTGTGTAGATCAGAGCATGAGGAGCTATCAGACACAAGTACAAAAAAGAAAGTAACTTTTGATTTGAATGTCGAAACCGACAAGGAATTGTCATCCCAAGAACCCCAATGTTGCTTGGCGGAGAGTAAATTTGAGAGAGAGAGAGGGAACAAAGAAGAAACACAAAATGAAAGGCAGATCCTTCTGGGTTCAAATGTGTCAATTAGGGCATATGATCCTCCAAATCATGGGTACCACAATTGCACTAGCAGTGATGATGAATGCGTGGACATGGATTTGGAAGAAAGTGACTCAGATGGACCACATGGTCATGAAAATGATAATAGTGATCAAGCATTATTAGTCCAAGAGGAGGAGTCTTCCGAGTCCTTATTTTCCATCTCAATTGGGAAACGAAATTCTGCAGCTGAAATGGGCAGCAAGGAAGTCAATAGTCCGATAACAATCCGCGATTCGATTGAAGAGGGATTGAACTCTGTTGGGTTGAATCAACATGTTTTGCCTGCAGCTGAAGTGGGCAGTGAGGGAGTCAATAGTCCGATAACAATCCGCGATTCACCTGAGGAATTGACGCCAGTTGGGTTGAATCAGAGTGGTAGAAACAAAAGCCAACAGCATGTTTTGTCTGCAGCTGAAATGTGCAGTGAGGAAGTCAATAGTCCGATAACAATCCGCGATTCGATTGAAGAGGGGTTGAACTTTGTTGGGTTGAATCAACATGTTTTGTCTGCAGCTGAAATGGGCAGTGAGGGAGTCAATAGTCCGATAACAATCCGCGATTCGCCTGAGGAATTGAGGCCAGTTGGGTTGAATCATAGTGGTAGAAACAAAAGCCAACAACATGTGTTGTCTGCAGCTGAAATGGGCAGTGAGGAAGTCAATAGTCCGATAACAATCCGCGATTTGCCCGAGGGATTGAGGCTAGTTGGGTTGAATCAAAGTGGAAGAAGCAAAAGCCAACAACATGTTTTGTTGTCTGTGTTGAGTCCAGTGGAGAATCTTACTCAATGGAAAGTGGTCAAAGCCAAAACAACCACCCCACCACTAGAGCACCAAGATAAGGAGAATATAACATACACACAGCATGAACTGAACATACCTTCAAGTGAAGAGCCTAGTTTCAGGCTGCAAATTCACAAATCCAGGCGACGATCCAAGAGCACGAAGCCAGAAGACGAAATTGCAGTTGACACAAGCTTGTCTAGCTGGTTGGTTGAGTCTGAATTGACAGAGACTGCCCAGAAAAGTCTAAACTCTATTGGGACTTCATCAGCTGAGAGAGCGAATTCAGCAGTAAGTTTTGAAGATAGACCAATTTTAGGAGCAATGACTGTTGATGAGCTGAAGAAATTATCTGAATTTTCGTCTCCAAGACAGTCACCAAGACGACATTGTAGCCCGGATGAAATGCCCATCATTGGTACTGTTGGGAGCTACTGGAGTCATACAGGGCATACCGTGGACTCGGAGTCAAGCTCGTGCTCATCTTCCAGAGGAATGTCATACACATCAAAGAAATACAGAGAGGTATGATAAATGCAGTGAGATTTTGTGGTTTTGTGATTTGTGGGTACTGAGACATTGTTTTGGTTTTTGCTGGGAAATAGAGTTAAGCGCCAGTCTACACCATTTGAGACAAGGTTGGAGAGGGCTTTGGATAGTGGTATTGCTGAAGTTTAGCACATTTGGTACAAGACGTGTGTGGTTTAGGAGAGTGTTGGTACTCTTTGTTTTAGACTTTTTTTTTTATTTGGGTAAATCTCTTTGTTTTAGACTTGACTCTTCTGAACCTTTTTTTTGTGGATACTTTTGTTTTAACTGTTATGCAATTCAATGGTGATATTATTCATGGGACAAAAATCTGGTTATTAATTGTATTTAATGGTTAATAGAAATGAACTAAGCATAGGTACAAATAAATGTATAGTGAGAGATGAAATGATTTAGGAGAGTGTTGGTACTCTTTGTTTTAGACTTTTTTTTTTTTTTGGGTAAATCTCTTTGTTTTAGACTTGACTCTTCTGAACCTTTTTTTTGTGGATACTTTTGTTTTAACTATTATGGTGATATTATTCATGGGACAAAAATCTGGTTATTAATTCTATTTAATGGTTAATAGAAATGAACTAAGCATAGGTACAAATAAATGTATAGTGAGAGATGAAATGATTGACAACTTTGAAACAAGTTGTGGTTGGAGTTGTGAGATTTCAAGTTGTGATATACACACTCAAAATATAGATGAACTAGTATAAAAAAAATCTATGATATAAACAACACACTCAATATCATCATCACCAAGTGTGTTCTTATGTACAAATATTTACAGAAGAGCACTTCAAATATTCTCAAATTATATTATCATAAAGCATATTTATAATCTCTCAAAGTCAAACGCATATCTAATTAGTATGAGTTACATAAATACCATGTATTATCCTAGATATGCAAATATACCCTGAAAGGAGTAGTCAAGTGATGGTACAACAAATTCACCTACAATATCAGATAATATAGTAACAATTAATTCAAAAGAGTTGCAAATGAAGCCAACAAGGATTACACAGGTACAGTGTATAGAAAAGAAGCAACATTGTGTGATCCAATTGGAAGAGAATTATTTTTTTCCTGTAATTACTGAAAGAAATTATTTGCTCAGAAAATCTGGACCACTCTCAGATTTAAAATGGAAAAAAAATGAACTAGATGAAGGTCAATAGTTCAAAATTCGACTAACAAAACTACACTTATATATCATATTACATGCACACCTTCAAGGTTCAATCATGCACTTTCGATGCAACACCATTCCATTCATTTCCCTGTCATTGCACGTCCAACGGTTAAATATAGAGAGCTTATCATTCCAAAGCAAGTGTAAATTGAAATGTAAATCCAGAAAATGAAGCAGCATCTGTAAATGATCACACAGTTCCACAAAAGAGGATGCTTTAATACATGCGTGTCGCCTTTTCTTGGCACCAGAGTTCGATGATTTCTCTCAGATGGCTTAAAGGAGAACCCCGATCAGAAAAACGTAAACTAGATAACCAAAGATATGGATACACAAAGCAGTTCAAGAAAAATTAGGGACAACAAGCTATCAAAGAAATGAGTAAATTCTGCCAATTTTACATCACATAACAATACAACAATGGATGAAGATAAGATCTTCTTCACCAACAAGAAGCAACAACCTAACTCTTATCCAGTGAGCCCCTCCACTACTTCTGAAGAGTAAAATAGAAGTCAGGCATGCAAGGAATGACCTTTATGTCATCTGGCAAAGGATCTTGGAGCAGCAACCGACGTAACAAGGATCCCTTATATGCTGTTATTCTTCTAAATCCTCACTCAACTGACGCCCAACATCTCCACTTCTTGCAGCTGCTTGTTTCCTATGTTTCTTGCTCTTGGCTTTCTTGGCTTTCATACGCCGTTTTTTCTCATTGGCATCAACCCAGGCATAGTGTGATGGTATGTGGAAGGGGTCAGGCTCATCTTTGAAGCTGTGACTTCCACTGTCACTTGATTGCCCTCCAAGGCTTCCTCTCATCCATGAAATCCACGATGAGGATCCCTCCGATTCCTTAGACTTGGCGTCTTGGAAATGTGCAGGGCTGGAAACAGGGGAAAAAAACTCATCCACTGGTTGAAGCTCCTCAAACTTTGTAAAGGTGACAAGGACCCGAATAGTTGGGACAATTGGGATAGCCACCTGCAGTATGGAAATCAGTGATTTGAGAATTAAAGCTGGAATGAGGAAAGTGCAGACCTAACCATCATCATCCTTAGCCTTGATTCAAATCAAATGGGGTTGGACACATTCTTCCACTCTTTTCTATTATAAACTATTTAATTTGGTCTTTTCTTGTAATTTCATCCCAAATTAATCTTGGTCCATCTCATTGTTTCTTACCTTCTAACTGGAACTAGACTTCATTTTCTTATCGGTGCATCTGTTAATCTACATTTATAGGTCCACATAATCTAAACTTATTTTCTCTTGTTTTATAACTAATAGGTGTGATTCCATATTTCTTCCTAGCATGTTAATTATTAAACCAGTCTATTCAGTTATTTTAATTATCTATATCATCAATAGATGCAATAATCATTCTTAGAACAATAATAATCAAGTGTCAAAATCCATATTCAAGTCAACCACTAGGAATTGAGAACAACTCAATGTAATTGAAAATTTGTTTATGTAGTATCAGGAATACTTCATAGTTTTGGAATGAATTTACCACATCTTTATACTCCTAACAGCCTAAGAAAGATGTCCCAAGAGCTCTAACAGTTCCTCCCAGTGCATCAAATGCAGACCTTTGATCAACCCATGACAAGGAATGGTTAGGTCAACTGCTGTTTTGATGACCAATCCATGACAAGCATGGTTCAAGGTGAAGTTAATTTTTACTATCAGGTTGAGTGTATTTGTCATGATGTCAACATGAGAGCAACATAATACCAAAATTGCAAGGTACCAAAATTTTAAATAAATAAAGGAACAACAATTGCAAGGTGTACCCTTAAGCAACTATTTTATCATTCTAAACATAGTAGAACAAAGCCCCAGAGATTTTTAATATATTACATATACTCCTGCTCCTGAGGAATTTCTCATCCTCATTGAAGATTGCAATAATAATAAGTTTCAGACCTGATCTTGACACTACAAATAGAATAACGAAGCTTTGAGGAGGAGTTACTTTACGGATCATTCATCATTAAAACAAAATGAAGATATGTTGATCACTCGTGTGTGACTATAGATGGAATGCATCTACACTAAAATGACCAAACTTGGTTTTTTTTTTTTGACTTTTTCTTTCTATGATAAGCACCAAAACTTTCAATTTTGAAAGAAAAGATGGACAAGATTTAAGGATAAATCTTCAATATCGTAACTTAATCCAGCATGAATAAGATCATAATACTTTGTTCATGTGAATAGTATCCAAACTCTAATTCTAACAATTTTATGGTTCAAACAGGGATTAATGTATTATATATATATATATATATATATATATATATATATATATATAATAAAATAAAATAAAATAAAAAAGAAGAAAGAAAGAGGATTAAGGTACAATTGCTTTTGTTATAAAAATGTAACGCACAGCATACAGCGTTCTTACAATAATCTGTAAGTTGCTAGCAATGGAAATGTTGAGATATGCTAAATGTCTAAACATATTCTTATGTGGTGACTACCTTGACAGTTATAGATGTATGAGTTTGCTCTTGAGTAACATTACATTGAGGGTGCATGGCCTAATCACATGAACCCGCATTGAACAGCCCAGATTAGAGGGTCTAATGTGGGTAACATGTGCGGATGCCTTACACTTAAAGAACCTGGTTCAAAGAAACTTGTAGGCTCTCTTTTCTTTATCCCAAGTGTCAGTTCATAATCCAAAAGCCACTGCCATAATGCATTAGACACTTGTGCACCTTTCCCAATCATTATGTATTTTAAAATATGATGGGAATTGTTGTCTTTTTGTTAAAAATGTGTTTCAAAATAAATTTTATAAATAGTGATTGGACTGATAAATTTATTATTTAAGGCAGCTACTTATTTGTGTAGCATTGAAGATTTATGACAATTATTAGTTCATATTTACTTATTTAGTATTAATTCATATATGTCCATGTCCCATGCTATATATTTAGTATCCGTCTTTTCCGGTTCCTTGACTAGACCCAAAAGCCAACCAGTTTTCCCTTTCCCTCCAATACAAAGTTGAAGAGAACGGGACCAACATACGAAATTGCGCCCATTTAAGAGCACACTAGTAACCCACTGTGCCGGAGCATGCTGTGCCGAAGATAAAGTATGTTGGACCGAGGATAAAGTGTCCTTTTGGCTACTAGAATCACTCATAGTACCAAAATAAGGCTGGTCCACACATCAAAGAGGGAGGAAAAAAAAAAAAAAAAACAAGACTGAAAAAATTGGCGCTTTCCTCCAAATAGGCTGCCAAACAAACACTGGCAGCCCACAAAGAAAAAAATAAAAACACCAGAAGGACCCTTAGGTCACAAAAAACCTAAGGGAATTCTCCTAAAAAGGAGTCAAAAACAGAGAGAAAGAGAGGGGTCCGGCGCAAGGGCTGGGAGGAGATGGAGGTGAAAGAGGAGAGAGGGACAGAGAAGGTGGCGGCGTTGGGGAAGGAAGATGGGGAGGCGAAGGTTTTTGTTTTTACCCTGATACCAAAAAGAAGAAGTTTTCGGTTTTGGTTTACTCAAACTGAGAGTCAAGAGCTATATTTATATAAAAGAATATGGTACAAAAAAAGGAAACCAAATCAAAGAAAAACAGGAAACATGCCAAAATCTACGTGATCCCAAGATTACGGGAATCTTATCTACGTGATCCCATAATTATGGGAATCTCACATAAATCACCTAATAAAAGGCTGAAAACAGCTAATAAAAATAATAATAATAATAATAATAATAATAATAATAATAATAATAATGATATTTCAACAATATTCCAACTTAAATTTTTATATTTTTATAAGCGTTGAAAAACATTATTAAATATAGTTTTTAATTTATGAGTCTATATATGAATATATTAGTATTTCCCTCTAGGACTCCCTCCAAGATCCTTTCATTTTCTCCAGAATTGTGAGCCTACAAAATTGTCATCCTTGTCTCTATTTCCAAATCTTCATGAACCTTTCTGTTTTTCTCTTGTAAAAACAAATTACCTATTGTAATATCTTACCTCCTGGGTTCAGGACTATCTATATAAAAGGGCCACTCCCCTTTGTCTTTGGTGGGGCTTGTAGTGCAAGAGAAATGGGAGATCCTTTGATGGGGAGGAGTCTCCCTTTTGGTCTCTCAAACACAATATACTGTCTTCTTTATTCTTTTGGGTTGATGGGCAAAACTGAATATCTACGGATAGTCTTTTGGATTTTGTGGATAGCTTAAAGTTGTAATGTCACTCCCCTTTTGAGTGCCTTTTATGAATTTTTATTTATCAAAAAAAATATGTAAAGGTTTCATCTCTAAATTATATAGCCAGATTGGTGGGTTGTGGTTTTCAGGAGACTTTTTTGCTCCTCTTGCCAAGATAAGTAATCATCCATACATTGTTCTGGTTTCTGTTTATCAAAAGCCACCTTATGTCATTGAAGTAAAAAAAATACATTTCTTCAATTTTATGAGGAGATTAAATCTAATCACTTTCGTTTTTCTAATCCTCCTAAGCATATTTACATCTGCTTCACGCTATTCATTGCCTAAAAAAGGTCTATCTCGTCTACTTAAAAAATTTAGGCAGTCCACTGTATCAATTATTTTACACATAGTGTGACTGACAAGATCCATCCAGTATTTATTAACAAGTTGAACCTGTGCAGATACTACAGTAATTTGTATCTCAAAGTTTCTTCTTTCCGGTGAGCGTTTATTCTTTCTGGTGAGGGTTTCTCTTTCCGGTTTGTACGTCACTGATATGAATATCACCATGAATGATGCTTTACACATTTACTCTTACAGAGAACCACACATTGCAGTTTGATATGAAAAATCTAGGCTCCTTTCACCATTTTTTGAGTCTCAGTTTGCTTAGAATGCTCAGAAACTGTTTTACTTTCACTGAAAATATGATGCTGTTATGATGTCTGAGGTTTGTCGAATAAATATTCGTGACACTCTTTCTTCTATGAAGCTTCAAGCAAAGGTTCGTCTTAATAAGAAGAGCCATTCCCAGTGCTTACTGCATACTTAGCAGAATGGTACTGCTACATCACCATATCATACCTGATATCCTAGCTTCATCCCTTAATGGCTATCCTATGGGTGTTCCATCATTTTTGTTGTACAATTACATGCATATCGACATGTTTTTACAAATAGCTTCTGTCTTCCTAAAAAACACTCACTTATTAAAAGACTGGCAACCAAGATACAATAACTCAATCTACTGTTAAAGTAGAGGATAAGGTTCTGGACAGAACTGCAGATACTGTTTGGTGAGATCATTTCCACACCAACCCTCTATCCTATGATAAAAACAGTGCATTCCAGTGGAGCAATCTGGAAATCCATGAGTGAACTAAATAGACAGACGTTGATTCTCATTTTAAGTCAGTCATATATAATGCCGTATACTTTCACAACCGTCACTCCCTTCAACACTTATCACTCCACAAGAGCTCAAAAGACAGTTATTTTAAATTTAACAATAATATATTCGATTCTCTTAAATTCAATTACGATGAGAATAATCTTACAATTTATTTGAATTAATCACAAATCATTTATTGTAGTGAATCTGGATAAGCATTTCAACTAGACCAAGTGAGTTAGTTTGCTTGAGAAAATGATATTACTATAGTGGGGTATTACAAAAAGATCATTTTAGCAAGGTATAATAACCTTTGGGCTTGGGGTAAAATTCATGCAGAGGAAAAGAACAAAGATGAATAGTTTGATAAAAAAAAAAAAAATAGAAAAAAATGGTTAGTGGTGAAATTCTTATGATTTGGTAACTTCTATTGTTTTGGATACATTGGAGAATGTTTGATAATGGGTTTGTCAGAGACTTGATGGTAACCTGAGCACTTGTCGAGTGTCTGGAGTTTTGCAAAAAGAGCAGTAAAGGAAGGGGTTAGTGTGCTCTACTACTAGCAATTGTTTCTTCCTTAGAGATTCTCTTATTTCTTGGCCTAATAAGAAGCAAATGCTCACGGCTCAGTCTAGCACTGAAGCTGAATATCATGCTCTAGTTGATCATTTTGGGATAAGTGGTTTACTTATCTTAACAAAGTGTTTTTATAAATTAAAAAATAAATAAAATAAAATAAAATAAAAATTGGTTTTACATTAAAATACTTCGAATACGTGTATGGATAAGTTCGTATTTCAGACTATTACTATTCTGTATCCTTCTAACCTAATTTCACATAAACTTTTTTTCTTTGATACTGAGGTCCTAAAATTATGAAATTTATACATGTATTTGGGAATATGAATCTAGTTTCTGGAATGGTAAATTGAGCTTAATTTCACTGAAAATTGAAATTTTAACAAAACTTGCAAAAAATCCAAACCTGACATTCAGCTTAATTGAATATTTAAAAATATTAAGGAGTAAATGACAACAGTTTTAAGATTCATAAATTTTTCCTATATCAATTATCAAGTCCAGTTCACCCAGAATTTTATTTTGTGAGTTTAATACTTTTCGTTTATATTACCAAAAGACCTAAGGACATAATATTTAAATGAAACTTTTGGACCGGGAAATGATCACTTTTATATTATATTATAGACCATCATATACGTGCAAGCATTTTAAATGCGTACCTTTTAATTAATGACAAACATCCACACTAACTTTATCTTACATTGTGCATGAAATAGCCATATATGTACCTATTGCCAGTACACTAGAGATATAATAAGGTTGGCTATATAAAAGGAGTCACATATGAATACGTAACATGATAAGGGACATGTATGTCGGAGTTGTGACTACAAAATGACTATATATAGACATATGTATAAAAACGCGCTTATAAAGAAAATATGAAAAATAAGAATTTTTATACACCTATCAAGTATTTGTTACTTTTAGCTTGTATTACTAAAAGCACATGAAAAACCTGACAGTTATGTTGCATGGAGACAAAATTTGGACGGAATTAGACATGATATATTCTATAACATTATACTATAAATGGTGATTCGAAATGAGTAATTTTAGCCAAATTATGGAGACGTTGAAAGACTATTGGATACATATGTGTAAATAACCGAGAAGTATTAAAATCCAATATGGATTATGGGATACGATGTCCTTGTAGAAGTATTCATTTGTGTGAACCTGATGTTATTTGCTTAACTACGTTTCCAAACACCATCTTAGAAGACTACTCAAATTGAAAATATCCAAAACATAGAAACCAACATACACTACACAGGGCAATAGAGGTTAAAAATAGTGTAAAGGCCATAAGCACTTAATTATTTAGGAGTTAAGAGAGAATTTCAAAAAAAAAAAAAAAAAAAAGTTCCAGTAATTCTCAAAGCTTACACAAGGAAAGCTCACATAACCATATGAAAGATGAAGGCTAAGAAAAAAAGCACTAAGAAGGTCCAGAACAAAGAAAGAGGTCAACACTATGAATCACAATCATGACAAGAGGTATGAACATATATTTTGTTCTCATATTTGCTCAATTACATCAATGTACTAAGACTAAAACCTAGACAAAGGTTTTAACGAGTTTTGTACTAAATTAGAGCAAGTACATATATTTCAGGACAATAGATATCTCGTAAGTCCTAATATTAGTAGATGCAAACTAATTTACGACTTAATATGCCCATGTAAATCATATTATTCCAAGTTGTGCAAATGAAAACATTGAAGAATTTACAACTGAAAGTGGCATAACGAGTTTGGATTTTTTAGTTATAAATGAAGCTTGCAAAAGAGTGTATTAAGTTCTGAGATGATTCATTGATTATAAAACAGGAGTATATGCTAACAGTGAAATTGTAAATACAACTATAGTGGAACAGCAGAAAAAAAGTGTGGACATAGAATATAATAACAGCAGAATGAAACATACAAAAGAATAAAGATCAAATATACCTTCACAGGAAATGTGCCATGAGGTAGTTTAGTAGTTAAAAGCTCCCTCAATCTTCTAATAGCCTTCACTTTGTTGGCTAAGATGTCAAGTAAAGGCAAGAGTTCTTCGGTCTTTAAAGGGAAATCCGGTGTCAACCACAAAACAGGTCTCAAACCCTTTTTATACTCGCTCTCATTCTTAGACTCACTCATTCCGCCTTTCTTCTTTTTCTTCTTGCTGCTTTTATCTTTGCTTTTTTTAACATCCCCAATATCTTCCCTGGGGAATTCAGATGATGATCTTTGACTATCATTAGGTTTCTGATTCCCACCTTCCGGGGCCAGCTTTGAGAACTTCTTCAAAATCTTCGAATCGTCAGGATCATCACTTCCATGCTTTGTACCTTTCTTGTTCCAACCAAACCAACTCTTCTTCTCCTTGTTAACACCATTGGATTCACAACTTCCAAAGGAGCCTCCGTCACCATTTTCATGACAATCCCGAACCCCATGTTCCTCATCCTCGCAAAGACCATCTGAATTCCCCATGCGAAGTGCAGAATCTAACTGCATCCTTTCCTCAGCTGTCAATATATCATCATACTCATCACGCTCACCTCCATTTACTATCCTTTCATCATCATCCACAGAAAAAAGCTCCTCGTCAGTCATAGCACCTGGAACCCGCCTCGACTTCACACTCACCATCACATGAAGCATATCATATACCTTGGCCTTCCAGTTACCAACCATCTCAGTCCTCTCCTGCCGCCTCCAATTAAGATGGGGAACAAGTTCAGCCTGAGTAACATCAATACCTGGCCTATACATGTTAGTTTGAGACATCAAGGCAACTTCATGGGCAACTTCAGCTTCTGTTGGTTGGGCACCAGCTCCCTCCAAAGCATTTGTTATTTCTTTATCCTTGTGGGCAAGCACAATCAAAGAACCAGGGGATAAAGATATATTACCGTCTTCTGAAGTATATCCCTCTCCAAGAAAGAGGAAAGTTTGATCAGATCGTTGAATGCGGAACCCATCAAAGCCAGCAAGGGTCATATCAGCACGGAGATTAGAACCACGTTTCCAAATTCTGTAAGTGTCCGATGGAGCAATGCGACCGATGAATGGAATGACAGAGCTCTCAAAGTGGAAGGTAATTTCCATATAAAAATCACGAATCCGAGCTGATGAGGCGACAATGCGAGGAAGCCGGCGACACCATTTAGCCCAGGCAAGAGGCTGGTAATGCCGGGCAATTATCATAGCAATATTTTCCTCTCTGGTGCAGACTGCTTCTTGGAGGGCACTCCATCCATGCTCATTCTGAAGACTCCAGTCAGCACCAGCTGCCATTAAAATCTCCGCCGAGACTGGATCCCTGATGCGAACCGCGAGATGCAGAGGGGTTTCACGGCCTGGAACATCTCGCCGATCGATAGCCGCAGATACGGCATCAGCTTCAAGTTCAGCAGCAATAGATTCAGCTTCATTGTTCACCTCGCCAGCCTTGGCGAGCTGAGGGAGGTTCGAGATGATTCGTTTGAGGGCAGCATAGTCACGGCATGCAACAGCCAAGTGGGCAGGACTGTGGGCATATTTAGACCAATCTTCCATTAATACTTTTGCTTTCAAAACTACACAAAGCTATAGTTTCATCATTCTTCTAAAGTTCAAGCTACATAGGTTAAACATTACAGAACTAACCCAAACTTTCATCCCCTCGAACAACTTCAAATTATTTTTGGTGCTTCACAAGCTACATAAAACCGGAAAAAATTAGGGCTTTTGGCCCTCTGTCACTGCAGTCAGCTTCAGATTCACATCAATCACTATAGATCTCTTCAATGACACTCAAATAGTTACAATCCAAGTCAAACAACTCCAATTCACACTCACCTTATCTTCTTCCCACTACTTTTTTGCCAAGTACCTTATCTTCTTCCACATTACCAAACAAACCTCTTTTTAGCTAATAAGGCGATACAGACTTCAACAACCAGATCTGAAATCAATTGCAGATTACTGAAGCTATCACAGAGCTCAAATCTGATAAATTTAAAACAATAATAATTGAAAATACGTACAAAACAACAAAAATTCACCAGAATTAACAAAAATTCACCAGAATTGGCATAAAATTATCATAAATCCCTTTATTATTCTAAATTAACAATTGTGCATCAAATATACATATATATATCTGTATATGTATAACTATTTTTAATTTTCCAAAATTTTAATTGTCAGCTAATTTCGAGCAAGAATTGGAAAAATATAGCTGAGAAAGAAGCACCTGAAAATGCGAAAATTGAATAGATCGAAAGCTGTTTTAGCCGATAGCTACAATCATTCCTCTCCTTCTTCGATTGAGGTTTAGAAAGAGAAAGAGAGAGAAGAAATCGGAGGAATCGATCACATCGGCGAGTTGGGTATTACTTGGTGGTATATATGGATCTTCGTCGTCGCAGACCATTCGGACATTGAATGCTGTTTCGACAGAAGAGACGTGTCTGGACTCGACCCGACTCGTCCCCCAACCCAATCAGCTCAGATCTCTCTCTCTCTCTCTCTCTCTCTCTCTCTACAGTACAACCGTATTTATCTCTATATTCTGTATATATAGCTCAGGTTTTATTGTCATTTTAGAGAGAGAAAGCGAGAGCGTTGTTGCCTTTTATTGTGTAGAGAGAGAGTATGTGCGTGTGGTGTTGCCTTTAACTTTTTATTTATTATTAATTGCTACTCCCATGCCCTATAGCGCTCTCCATACAAACATATGAGAGTAATGTTGAAAATGAGAGTAATGTTGAAAATGAGAGTAGAAAAATATTCAGAGGTTTAATAAATGAGCGGAGGCCAAAATGTACCTAATTTATAAATTAGGTATTCTTCTTAAAAATACATAATAATTATACATATTGATTAAATAATTGTATTTAATTAATAACGTAGATATCAAGGCTCTATCCACTCACCCTAAGTAGGTATTGTGTGTGTGTTTTTTTTTTTTTTTTCTTTCCGAAAATTAAAGCAATTTTCATTAATAATAAAAATTTACAAGAGGGCCTTTGGCCCTAAGCTTGCAACAAGGCTTTGAGAATACAGGGAAAACAATTCCAAAACTCAAAACTAGAAATAACTACCAATAATGGCAAGAAGCCATTTATGGACGCCGTCAATTCAATCCGGTGACCTCGTACAGTAGTTGTGCCGCCTTACTCTAGATTTCTTATGAAATACTATGCAATTAACAAGTTGTGCTAAAAAGGTGAAATCACAATTTGGTAAATTGTAAGCCCATGTCACACAAGCAAACATCAAATCCCGTGAGGCCCAATAAATAAGAAGAGATAAGGGCTACTAAAGAGTGAAAAAGAACTAACCCGTAAATCTAATCCCCAAAAGCCCAAACCCACATCTGTTGAACTATAAAAATATGTGAAAAAAAATTATGGTCTACAAAATCATCACCATATTTAAAACAAATTAAAAAATAAATAAATAAATTCATCACCATAATAGGACTCACTGACCTGCAATTTTGAGAGATGAGAAAGTCGTGGTAAATATTTTTTAAATGAGGGTTTTTTTTTTTTTCTTTTCTCTTTTCGATTTATAATAGAGAACAATGTGAACTCAAAGAGTTAAATTTTTTTTGTGAGTTTATGATGAGTAGAAATGAGCTAACCACTTCTATATATAGATTTTTGACTTGAGGAGGAGTAATTTCATTATTTTACATAATTGAGAAATTAAAAAAATTGAGGAAAATTGATTAAATATTCAAATAATTGACGCTTTTTCTAAGATTTGGGCCTAAGTGTTACATTGAAGTTCAAATTTAAATGAATACAAATAAATTAAGTCAAGCCGAGTTTAAGTTATTCATGAAGATTTGGTCTCATTTTGCAGTTCTATGTCGTAGCTTATCTTCCACCATATTCCTTCTCAAACCCAATTCTTCATAAACAAAACGTTATTTGTGTGAAATTTTTATCACATGATAAGGACATTGATTTATATATATATATATATATTTAACGAGTTATATGTGGCACTATTGTGAGATATGAAATATGCTTGAATATATATATTATGTTGAATACAACCACCAACTGAATTCTTAAAGCAGCATTTAGTATGTGCTTAACATTCAGAAATAAAGATTGAGCACCACAGTGAACAACAATCACACTCAACACAACATCATTCCAACCACACCAAATCTCTAGATGACATACCATCAAACCTATTTTTAGAAATCCTAGTCTCAATAAGATAGACAAACTGCAGAGAGAACTGAGAAATCCAAGATCTGATATCCCTGAGCCTCCTGGGGCTGTTGAGTCCTCTCACATTCCAGCTTCCTAGCTTTGGGGTCAATCCCGGCCCCCTAGCTTATTTCTCATCTAAGGGCCTTGTTGTTTATCCCATTTGTTGTTCTTTGCCCATCTTGTCCCATCCCAACCCATCCAACGTTGTCAGGGTGCACTACAAAACATAGTAAGATGTAATATTTATATTTGAATATTGATAATGATAGTAATACTCTTAGTCGACTTCGGTTCGGTTAAGAACGATAATGAAACCTCGTGCATGTCATTCTCTTGACTTAACACATGAATGGTAGAAATGTGGGTCACTCCCATCCAACAGTATAGCCTGGTTAGTAGCATGAGCCTCCATAGTCTTGCATTAATTAGGCATTAATATTGGAGTATTAATTGTCAGCTTAATTGTCACCTTTGTGGGCCATTCAAGGACACTACAATCCCACTACAATCCCTTAAATGCAACACTCAAATATAAGCATGACAATAAGGGCTATGTCCAATGAATTAAGGAATAGAAGAAGGAAACAATCAGAATACAAAAGCAACAGAGAGAGCCAATAGATGTCTCAAGCATTTATAATAAGATTAAGGTTGTGTTTTAATTCATGTCATTTGTGGGACCGTTGAAAATACTGATTTTCTTTTTCCCGAGTACAAAACAAGGGTGGGAGCTTGAGTATTCTACAATTCTAAAGATTAAAAATTATAGTGGGAGCTTGAGTATTCTACAATTCTAAAGATTAAAAATTCTACAATTCTTAAGATTGGATATCATATATGTAATAGTTAATGCCCCATACTAACCTTGTAGAGATCCATATTTACACAGAAATAGAAAATTTGTTGACACCCAAGCATATACATGACCAAAGAAAAATTGTTATGATCGGTCCCAATATTTAGTAAAATGGATCATCTCTCAATTTGAAAAAGCAACAATGAATCATGTCTAACTTCCACTTTCAGATTCTTGTTTAGTAAAATGGGCCATCTCTCAATTTGAAAAAACAATAATGAATCATGTCTAACTTCTACTTTCAGATCCTTTGATTCTAGGAGGGTTTCACATTTTAAATATTCTGAAATGTAGCCGAATTAGATGATACATTTAACCAAGTTGTTGAGCATTTAGTCCCATACATTCGATTATAAACTCAAACTCAAGTCAAGCCAATAAAGACTGGTCAACTAGAGAAAATATATATATATATATATATATATATATATATATGAAAAATTATCTTGTCCTGATATGAAATAAAGCAACTAGGGGCCTAGTGCAAAAGGATAAATGGTGTATTCGATAGAAATCTGAAAACAACCCAATTATACCCTTCAAACTTATAAAAATAGCTTCTTTTTTTTTTTTTTTTTTTTTTTTGGTATGCCTTCTAAAAATAAAAGCAAAGTTAAACCATTTAAACTTCTAAAAAGCCACCAATCTGTCCCATTTCTATAAATCAGAATCTCTTCTTGTACTTTTCTCTTTTGCATTCAATTGTACTCAATTGGTGGTATAGAAAACTACAAATGAACTGATTCTTTTTTAAAAAACACTACGTACCTTGATTTAAAAGTTTATGCAGTTCAAATCCTAAGTACTACTTCACTAATTTTTTTGACTTATGGTCAATATATTGATTGTTAGATTATTGTTCTCATTATTTTCATTTAATATGAAGAAACTAATAATAATAGTGACGTATGAAACTAAAACATTCTCTTTTTCTTCAGGCCCTGTTTCATAAAGTTGTGATTTTTATTTTTTTTGATGTGATTTCATTTATGTAAAAATAGCAAGTTTTGAAAAGTTGTGCTGTCATTTTTGTCAAATCAAAACATGTTTGGTAACGTACATCTGCTATTAAATTTTTGAATAGAGAAAAGAGAAAATATTTTTTGTTAAATTTATTTTTTTATTTAAAATTGACTCTTTTATTTACTATTCAAGTATAATTGAAAAATAATAAAATAATATTTTAATTACTATTCAAGTATAATTGGAAAATAATAAAATAATAAAATTGACTCTTTTATTTACTATCAGTATAATTGAAAATTAATAAAATAATATTTTATTTACTATTCAAGTATAATGAAAAATAACAAAATAATATTTTATCTACTATTCAAGTATAATTGAGAAATAATAAAATAGACTCTTTTATTTCTATTAGAGTATAACTAAAATAAATAAAAATATATATTTTATTAACTATTCAAGTATAATTAAAAAATAATAAAATAATAAAATAGAGTCTCTTATTTACTATTAGAGTATAATTGAAAAAATTAAAAAATATTTATTTACTATGCATGTGTAATTGAAAAATATAAAATAATAAAATTGACTCTTTTATATACTATTAGAGCATAACTAAAAATAATAAAATAGTATTTTATTTACTATTCAAGTATAATTGAAAAATAATAAAATCGACTCTTTTATTTACTATTAGATTATAATTGAAAAATAATAAAATAACATTCCTCTATTTGTGAAAATAATAAAATAATAAATAATAGTATTTGTAAACCAAAATTGAAAATCAAAACTTTATTTTGGAATTGTGGAAATTGTGAAAGAAATGGAAACTAGTTTTCAAAAGTTTTGATTTTTGAAAAGTCAAAATAGAGTTACCAAATTAATTTTATTGCCTTTAAAAAAAAAATGAAAACCACAACTGAAAACCAAAACTGAAAGCTTTACCAGACAGGGCCTAATAGCCTAAAAATTAAACAACTGGCCTCTTTTTGCTTCCTTTTGTGTTTATTTATAGTTTTGGCAAAAGTGCAAAAAAATCCCACAAAAATGAAAAATAACCCGGACTATCTCGAGTTGCAAATCAACCCCTCATCTATACAAAATGTTGCAAAAAGGATCTTTTTGGTCACCGGACCACATTTTTTTGCGCTCATACGGTCAAAATTACCAAAATATCCCCACTTATTAATTTATATAAAAGTTATAAAATATCAGAAATGTATAATACCCATAATACCCTTTAGGGGCCATCATACATTGGGATGGCAATGGGGCGGGGTGGGGATCTCATTCCCCATCTTCATCGCCAGTAATTTTTTTCATCCCATCCGCATTTAAAATTTCACTTCAATCCATATACCCGCCCCCGCCCTCGCCCTCACCCTCACCCTTCATTCCCCATCCCCATCCCTGTTTAATATACAATATAATTTTTTTAACACATAATTTTTCTTATTTTCATAAGTATGTTTATATATACTGAAGATAATTTAGTATTATATCATAATATATGAGGGTATTTATAACGACCCGAACCCGGAGGTCCGAACCGCTAACCGGTCCTTACC